AAAAAAAAAAGAGAGAGAGAGAGAGAGAGAGAGAAGTTAGCATAAACAGATTTTATATTCTAAGCTAATAGTGATGCTGTCCACAAGAGGGCACTTGGTATTTAGGCATGGAGAATGTTGGGTTCTTTCATTGTTGCAATTGCCTTTATTGAAGAGTACTACATGTGCTTTCATGAACTAAATTGTAGTCTCATTTTTTTCCTTGTAGACATTCAGTGGAATGGTTTGTTTTGTTTTACTTTGTGTGTGTGTGTTTTAGCAATTGACATTGATTTTAAAACAAAAAAGTGGCTAAAAAAAGGAAAAGAATAGAAAGCCCAGGGAAATAGCTGATAGATCAGGAAATATCAGGTCCTGATCTCATTATTTTAGCGCCTGAATGCAGCCATTCCTAAAAGATCTACCTGTGACTGTTTAAATCACTGAGCCAATAAATTATATTTTTCTCCTTAAAAAAGTATGTGTCTAGGAGAGGTTCCTTCCGCTCTTTTTTTGGAGAGGTTTTTGCTGTCGGTTGCGTGTGCTCTCCAGAAAGACAGAGAGACGGAAAGTGAGAAATCACCCCCACGGGGAATGGCCACGCCGCAATCCCTTCTTCATTATCCTCTCAGGATCTTGGGCATGCACGCACACACACCTGGCGTACGGTTAAGTCACTGGGTTCAGGACTCGAACCGTGGTCGACTACATGGGAGTCCAGCAACATAGCCACTGCACCAACTGCTGGTCCCAAAGTTTCTTTCAACTTAGGGTAGAGGGTAGAGGAGAGGGCATTTTGAAAAACCTAAGTATATTTTATTTTAGGCATGTAAGTCATATCCCATAATGTTTTATCCTTAACCTGTTTCGGGATACTCTTAAACAACTTTTTACAAGCAAACTGAAACAAGAATGTATGTTAAACATGATAGAGCTTGGAATGCTAACAACTGATTAGTGTCAAAACAACTCTTTCATGAGAGTAAAATTTGTGTGTGTGTGTGTGTGTGTGTGTGTGTGTGTATGTGTTTGGTTAATTTCTAGTAGAGTCTTCACTTTTCTAATAGCTAATAGTTTGTTCTAGGCTACATTTTTCAAGTATACAACCATTGATCATATAATCAGATAAAGCAGCTCTCTGGGAAGATCAAGATAATTAAGTTAGGGTCTTTCTGTGGATTGGAAGTGATGGGATGGAGGAGTTGATCAGTGTATCTCAAAAACTGTGACAGGACATCTGGATAGGGGCCCCTGAGCATATTGACCCTACAACTTCACCTGGATCCTCTGGGCATGCAGAATGGCCCACCCTTCCCTAGTTAGTGTGGAACAGCTGCTGTGTTAGAAAAAACTGCAGAAGCTTCTCCCCAACAGGGCAATAGGTGGCCCTCTCAGGAGCCACCTCTACCTCTTCTCCTGGCTGCCAAGCCAAAATAAGTATGCTGCTCAGCATCTATAATTGAAAAAAAGAGGGGGGCAGGAGCAGAAGACTGAGGATGGTCAACCTGACAGAAAATATGACCCTACAATACATTCAGAAGTCTCTATCATGGCCATATCCTCAGTCTTCCCTCAGAGGGACCTCTGGCCACCTACACAGGCGACTGTACACTGGAGAAAGATACATAACTAGGCATAGAATGAGTGAGCATAGTGTGTGAGTTGACATTGATTCCCCAGAGTGGGAATCTGTTGCTAAAGTCCCAATCATAGTGGGCCCAATGTGTGCATAGACTCTCCTATCCCCAGTAATAATTTTCCTAGTCTCCAAGTACATAACAGAAATAGATATACTTGGCATTGAAGTTAACCCCCACATTGGGTTCCTGAAAGTAAAAGCTTCATTTTAGGGAAGACCAGATGGAAACTTCTTAAACTGCTCCCATCCCCCTCCACCAGGCCAAAATAGTAAATCAAATCACTTTCTTTTCTCGAGGAAGATAGTAGGGATTAGTGCCATAAATAAATACCTAAATGATATAGTGATACTGTTGGGGCCTATTTCCAGCTCTATTTAATTTGCCAGTCTCACCCCTGTAGAAACTGGATGGATCTTGGAGAAAACTGTAAACTACCACAGACTTAATAAATTAGTAGCCTCAATTGCAGCTGCTTTTTACCAGATAGGATATTGCTGCTGGAGCAGATTGACAAAGCTTCAGGTGCAGGATTCACGGGCATTGATTTGGAGAATACTTTCTTCCCATTCTATTAATCATTAGAGATGAGGATCAACAACAGTTTATGACTTCTGATGCCAGCTCCAACATGTATAGAGCTCAGATATCATCAATCCTGTCATTATCCCAGAGAAAGGGTACAAAAACAAAATCAATGACTTTTCTTGGGTCCATTAGAGACTGTTCGCAAGGCAAACTCCCAGCCTAAAATCTAGATGAATCTAGACAGTCCTGAGGTCGACTTATGGGGAAAAGAAGCTGCTGAAACTGTAAACTGGTAAGAACACTTAAGTGGTAGTTTTGATTAATTACTGGAGGGGAAATAGGTGAATCCATTGTTAAAGTTGGAGACTTCAACACCTTCCTGTCAGTTGTAATTGATAGATCAAGCAGGCAGAAAATCAACAAAGATATAGTTGACCGGAACAACACTGTCAGTCAACTTGATCTAATTGACATTTATCGAATATTCCATTCAGTGCCACCAGAACATATTCTCCTCTAGTTCACAGATAACATTCACCAATATAGACCACATTTCAGATGCACCATGAGATTTTTAGCTTTATGAAGACAAGAGTCTTGGTTTACAATTCTCACTATGGTATTCCTAGCTTAATACCCAGCATATAAGAATTCCATGATGAATACTTTTTTGAATAAATGAATGGATTTCAAAATTAGGCTATAAAGCAATTACTCTAATTAGGATAGGAATAACAAAATAGACTAGTGTAACCACAAAGAAAGTATGTTAAAAAATTTTTCAACTGTGGGGCCAGCTGGTGGCATGGTGGTTAAGGTGTCTGGATCCCACATGGCTGACTTCACAGTTCAAGTCCCAGACCCAGTGGTTGAATATTCCCAGGTGCATGTGTGTGTGTGTGCCCAAAACCCCAAAGGAGGGATAAATGGAAAAGAAGGGATTGCAGCATGACCATGCCCCATTAATTTTACCTCCTCCCTCTTTCTCTGTCTCTCACCTGCAAGCACATATGCTCTCCAACAAAAGCAAAAAACAAACATTTAGCCTCAAAGTTAGGACTGTAAATCCACACCAATCATAACAAAATATACTGTTATAGTGTCTGCCATATGATTAACAGTCCTAATCTCTTGCACTTATCACATTATTTCTTTAATAAGTTGCAGTAACTTCTACTTAGACTCCTGAGCCTAACATTCTAGGTCTTTCATAACTGCATCCTTCCCTAATTATCTCACCTGGCCTCCTATTTCTTGCTCAAATATTTTGCTTCAGTTTTATCACTACTATTAAATAATAATTTCTAATTCAAGTCTTTGATCAATATATGGATCCCTTCATCTCCTGATTACTTCTGCTCTCAAACCCTTCCCATTTGGAGACCTTGTATTTTCTAGCTCACACTGATAGACCTCTAGAAGCTTATGAAACATTTATTGTCTATGTGTCATATGTTGTCATTTAATCATGTACTGCCTTGAATTTTCACTGTTATTCTGTGTGTACATTTCTTGTGTTAGCTTTTACAGTTTTGGGATCATGTCTTATTCAGGTCATCTTTAATATAAAAACAACTTGTATTCCATTAGGTTACTTGTAAGTTAACTTCTTTTAGAACGTAGAGTGCTTTTTCCATTGAAACAGTAGCTGAAAGGACTAGATTCTCTTCTACAACTATAAATGTATTTAACAAATTTTGTAATGGATCCATGTTACTTTAGTGGTCTAAGCTTGGCATCCTTGGAGTAATGGTTCATGTAGCAGAATTTTAAACTATTTTTATCACTCCCTGATTATCCTTTCAAAAGCTCTTTATACTTGAGCAGTTCATTTCACAAAGGTTTAATTTTCAACAAATAATGCAGTTTTGCCTCCTTTATATGACTTGTTTTTTATTGATTTTCTTCTGGAGCAAGTTTGTATTTGGGAGAAGGGAGTCGAAAGCCATCAGTGATGCCAGTGTGTGGTTAATTTTCAAAGAAGAATATTGCCTGTTGGAGAATTATCACCTGATTTTTGTTTTTAACAGGGATGTTAATCAAATATGCATAGTGGGGAATCATCACTTCTAAGGGATTTGTCACTGGTGTTATATTGAGACCAGAACTTACCCTGTGAAAACTGACCTATTTATTCTCTTAGTAGAATTTAAAACTTCTAATAATTATTAACAAGTATCTAAGAATAAGTAAAATGTTTATAAAATTAGCTATGTTTCAAGAAAGTATAATCTCTGAAATACCAGGCAGATCTACTTTGTGGAGATGTAAATCAGCTGCTACCATTTTTCTTCTAATATTTTTAATAGATTTAGTGAGCTAAATCATGAACAACAACAGTTAAAAAATTTAACTTGAAGATTTTTTTCATAAGAATATGAAAAATAATTGGAATCACTGAAAATTTTTTAAAGAATTAATTTAATTTATTATTATAACTTTTTAGTATGACTAGAGAAAGACAGAGAGAGAGAGAGGGAAAGTGCAAAAGCAAGCTGCCAGGTCTGAAACTCAAACCCAGTCAGCCTTGTGGGAGTCCAGTGGTTTTTTGGGGGGGGGAGGCACAGAGTGAGTTTATTTGGTGAATGCTGATGGCAAACATCATCCAGGAGACACTAGATGGGAAAGGTGCTGTGACCAGAAAGCCTGGGACACTTTGGGACTAGATACAGAGTCTCACGCAGGGAAAGGCCCAGGGTTCTGGGGTACTGGGCATGTCCTCAGCCATTCAGCACCATACGGACGATCTCTTTATAGTTGATACAACCATTGCTGTCCTCATGCCCTGCCACCAGCATCTCTATTTCTTCCTCTGTCATCTTCTCCCCCAACATGACAAGGACATGCCGGATTTCAGCATCCATGACGGTGCCATTCCCTTCCTTGTCAAACACCCGAAGGCCTTCAACATAATCCTCATAGGTGCCCTGGTCCTTATTCTTGGCCGCTGTCTGCAGCATGGACAGGAAGTGCTTGAAGTCCAGCACCTTCACATTCAACTCTTCAATCTTGGGTTCCTCAGGACCCTGTGCACCTCGGCGTTGGTGGGGTTCTGGCTCAGGGCCCTCATCACGACCCCACACTGGTTGTATAGGATCTTGCCATCCTCTGTCCAGTCAAACAGCTGGAATGCCTCCTTGAATGCTGAAGTCTGGTCTTCGGTGAAGTCTGGGAGTCCAGTGTTTTAACCACCATGCCACTTGCTGCCCCTGGTAATCACTGAAAATTTTAAGTTTAAATTTAGAGATTAAAAGTTTAAACCAAATGGGTGCAATGCATTATTTTTATTTTTATTTTTTAGCGAGATTTTTGCTATAGGGAGTGTGTAATTGCTAGAGACACAGAGAGAGAGAGAGAAGTGAGAAATCAACCCCAGCGGGGATGGCCACATCCCAATCCCTTCTCTTTCATTCACCTCTCAGATTTTGGGCATGCACGCACACATGCCCACCTTGAATTTCAAGCTGCCAGGTCCGGGATTCCAGCTACAGTCGGCCATGTGAGAATCCAGCAACTTAACCACTATACCAACTATTGGCCCTGGGTACAATGCATTATTGCTCTGACCCCTGGCTAGCCTTCTTTTCTGCTCTCCTATCAGTGTAGAAGGAGACTTAGAAATGTTCATAGAAAAATTGAATTAAAGTACAAGTTTATTTTGGTACAAAATAACATGCATTTTCTATAAAAATTTTGAGGATCCTTTGTATTGGTGAACTTGATTGTAGACCTTTCAGCCAGTAATATAGCTTAACAGTCCCTTGAACTGCTTAATTCTATTGATCCTCACTGCCTCCCCATTGCTTTCAGCAAACCCAGATATCCTGACCAAGCCTCAGGCTTTAATATCTCCTTGGTAGAGAATATCTTCATTTCGTTTGATCAGCATTCCCTCTGACTTCTTCTAGAACAGAATTACCCCTCTGAAAATTGTACTTTCCCCCTTCCTTCAATCGTATGTTTAATACCAAAGGCGTTTTCATTGCCTTATATATCCCCAAAGCTAATTAGTGCACTTGTGAGAACCTTACATAGACTGCCAACCATTACTTCTCTTCCACTCATCCCCACGAAAGTTGTTTGATTCAGAGCTGACACAGACGGTGTTATTCAGGGAACCAATCCCATTAACTCTGGACCTATGGTGAGACGGTCCTTTTAGGCAGATTGGAAAGCCCAGAACATACTTCTTAGACAGGAGTAGTTCGTTCAAAGAACTGTATTGAGCAAACGACTCTCACCCTTCCCGCTACTGTTTTCCTTTGATTGGGGCAGGGAATATTCAGGTTTTCACAATGGAAGGCTTGAGCCATGATTAAGAGCATGTTTGGAGACCAGAGGTGGTGTGGTGGTTAAGGGCACTGGACTCCCACATGGCTGACTGCGTTTCAAGTCCCAGACCTGGTGGCTTGCTTTCTCACTTTCTCCCTCTCTGTCCCTCTCTGGTCAAATTAAAAAAAAAAAAAAGAGCATATTTGAAGCAAGACTTGAATTCCTAGGTGTAGTTCAAAGATAGTAGCACTTTCACTCATGTACTGGAGCTAATATTTGTGGTACACATAGGAGTCTAAGACTTTCTGGATAAAGGCTAGTAGGAGACAAGATCCAGAAGTAAATCAGTATATTACGTACTCTCTACCTAAGGAGATGGAGGTGTTCACTATTAGGTACTGGCACAATCAGGGTGGTGTAATTCGAGTAGCATTATCTGATACTCAATTGGTGTGGCTGGCCTTAGATTATTTGCACTCATCTCCTTTTTATCTGCTAATGACATTGTGTACTTCCCCAAAAGCTCAGTAGTTGGTAATCTGAGCATTATATGTCTGTGCTACAGTGTTGGCAGAGAAAAGTTCAAATATCATCATAAGTCTCTTCTGAACAGCAGATTTAAGTTTGGTAGAGCCAAGCATTTCTGGGAAGCACCAGAGGAGTGAGCAGTAACTCATCTATTTGGACTTGCTCAGAAAAGGTTCTCCCAGGTGAAAATCTCCTAGAAAGGGTACCTGTTAATGTTTTCCCAGAGTATAAGATAGAGCTGAGGATCCTGCAGATGGCATGGTGACTGAGGTGCTGGACTCCCACATGGCTGACTGGTTTGCATCCCAGATCTGATGACTTGCCTTCTTGCTTTTGCTCTCTCTCTGCTCAAATTGAAAAAAAAAAATGATAATAATAAGTTAAATAATTCTTTTTAAAAATTTTATGTTCTTTTATACCTTCAATCACATTATTTAGCTTACAAAGTGAATATTCCAACATGTGAACATTTCTCCCTAGTCCAGTTGATAAAACTATAAAATTATCTTCAACAGATAATACCACATTTCTTTGTCCCATTAATGCTTTGCCTCTCTATTTTTCTTCTAAATGTCCTTCCTTAGACTCTATTCACAACCATTTACTGTGTTTCTATATCCTTTAGTCAATTGGTTTCAGTCATAGAGTAAGGATACTCGGTATATATTAAGTGGGGGAAATACAATGTCTTTTTTATTAATAATTATATTATTTATCTTTACTTATTTATTTATTTTAATTTGACCAGAGAGGCAGGGTGGGGGTGGCTTGGGAGAGAAGTGAGAAAGCAAGCCACCAGTTCTGGGACCCAAACCACAGTCATGTGGGAGTCCAGCACCCTTAATCACCACTCTACCTGCTGGCCCCAAATTGAATAATTCTAAAAAGAAAGAAAGAAAGAATGAACGAATGAATGAACTGAAAGTTGCAGGATGATTAAATAACCCTGACCTAACTAATTTGGGAACAAATTGATACTTGAGTCTGTTGGACTAAAGCCATCTTTTTTTGTGTTATAGACCACATGTGCTTACCAGAGACAGACAGACAGAAAGTGAGAAAGGAAGCTGCCAGGCCTGGGACTTGAACCTTGGTGAGCCATGTGGGAATCTAGTACCTTAAACACTATGCCATCTGCTTGCCCCTAAAGCCATTTTTTTAATTTATCAGTAGCCACAAATGTGCTATAGTATGGCAAGTTCTAAAGGGCATATTCCAAAGTTCAGTTCTGTGATCATGGGGCAGGCTCTGAAGACAAGCATCATCATAAAGAGTCTAGTTTTCTTGCAGTGGGAAACGACTTCTCTCCCATTTGCTTGAAAGGCTCATCTTTACGTCCGGCCATCCTACCTTCAGTTCACGTTTTGAGCCACTAATAAGTAACACTGCCTGTCTTGGCTATCAGTGAGTTTATTGTTGAGTTAGTCATCTCTGAAGCAAGGTGGTAAGCTTGATCTTTTTATTTGTTTATTTTTCTTCTTATTTATTTATTTATTTTTTAGGTTTTTGTCACAGGGAACATGCAAGAGCTGAGGAGAAACATAGAGAGAGAAAGTGAGAAATCTCTCTCTCTCTCTCTCACACACACACACACACACACACACACACTCCTAGGGAGGATGGTCACACTGCAATTCCTTTTCTTCCACACTCCTGGAATTTGGGAGCACACATTTACATGTACCCAACATGATTTTCATGCCACTACATCTAGGACTTTAACTGTGGTTGGCCATGTGGGAATCTAGCTTCTTAACTACCATGCTACTTGCTGGCCCCAGTAACCTTGGTCTTTTACCTAAGGAGACCTTTTGGAGAAAACAAACAAACAAAAATTAATTCCTCCTTCCCTCTAAGAACTACCAAAATATTTTAATGTGTCATGACTTTTCCAACACAGTATGTTGCTGGATGAGGTACTGTGAATAGGAAAAGTAAAATTATATCAGGAAAACACACCAGTATGAATAGGTGTTCTTTCCAGGGTGGAAGATGTCTTTTATAATCAACTTGCCAACAAGTTGATCTCCTGGAAAGATGGTACCATATCAGGGTCTCTTGCTAGTGTCTCCTGCTGGGATGCCAGACCTTGAACAGCAGTAGCACTTGGTGAGAAGGGACTCAGGCTGTTGAGCCAGGCATAGTCCCCATCCAGCCACTGTGGTTACTCTGTTCATGAACTTGTCCAAGTACGGGGGGGTGACAAAGGGCAGAAACCGGATGATATCTCTTGGTCAAGTCTTTGGTTCACTTGGTTTAATGCCTCTTCTTCTATAGGTGCTCTCTCTTGAGAATTACCATACAATACAGAGATCTTACTCTTTGTTTTCATTTCATGGACTATCTACATGCCTCTTTCCCAGACTTCTTTTCCCATAGTCATCAAGTCTGTATAGATTTCTGCCCTCAGTGTTGGCCCTCATGTTGGCCAGGTAGAGTGATTATAAGATTTTTTTAAAGCTTTTCCACATCTCTATATGTAATACTCAGGGAATTATACACATCTAGGTCTTCTTTGGAAAACTAAAACAGATGAGATAGGTTGCTCTCAGAAAATGTAATGTTCAGAAAGAAAAGTTCTGGAGTTTTTGAAGAATGCATTAATACAAAACAGAGAAAAAAGTATGATAAAAAATGGTATTATTCATGGGAACCAGCAGTTAACGTGATGGCTATGTTGCTGGACTCCCACGTAGTCGACCGCGGTTCAAGTCCCAGACCCGGTGGCTTAAAACATGCCAGGCGCGTGTGCATGCATGCCCAAGATCCCAAGAGGAGAATGGAGGAGAAGGGATTGCAGCGTGACCATCCCCCCTGGGGGGTGATTTCTCGCTTTCTGTCTCTATGTCTCTCTCTGTCTGTCTGGCGGCGCACGCGCCCTATAGTGAAAATCTCTCCAAAAAAAAAAAAAATGGTATTATTCATCAAGACAAATGGATGAGAAAAGTAGAGTGGTAGAACATGCAATGAAATTGTTAATCAGGGGAGTAGAGAGTATCACAGAGTAGGACAGTTCTAGAAATTAAGTCCTCAATTCAGATAACCGTCATCACAAATAGCTGAAGCTTTTATGTAAAGATCTGTATACACTTATTTAATAGATTTCACAAATTACTAGAAAACGAGTGTAACTCAGGTGGGAAAGTATAAAGTATGTATTTTAAGTGTGCATTTCTCCAACAATTTATAATTTTATATATATATATACACATACATACATACATAATGGTGATATACATGATGTATTGATGTATCAGAATAATCTACTCCATTCCCTCTTTTTCTGAAAAAGGAGTCATCATCTTTGTCCTCCATATGGGTGCTTATTTCGTTCTGTTCTTATAAATCTGAAATTGTTTTCACCAGAAAGTAAAAACTGACTTATGTATACAGTAAGGAGTAGGATATAGTTTTTCAGTGTCTTTGCCTGTACCTCTTTGTGTCCATGGTAGAAGTAGTACGAACACACATATAATTGTTTAGCATTTATGGCCTTTAGAGTCATTTCACCTGGGTTCTAATCATAGCTCTACCATTTATTGCTGCATGTCTGTAAGCCAGTTATGTCACCTCTATAATTTGCAATTTTCTCAACAGCAAAATGAAAATGAATATATTAGGCATATCAAGAGTTTTAATAAGGAATAAATGAAATAATTTATGCAATGTGCATGGCATATTAGGATTCAATAAACATCATGATTATTATTACTATTACTTAAAAAGTGCATATTAGGGAATTATGAAATCATAGAATATAGGGTATTGAAGGCATTCACTAATGAAGAAATTGGTGGTCATTTCTTATTATTGTTTAGAACATGGGGCCAGCAGTTAGTGTGATGGCTATGTCGCTGGACTCCCATGTAGTAGACCATGATTCGAGTCCCGGACCCAGTGGCTTAAACTCACACCAGGCACATGTGTATGTGTGCCCAAAATCCCAAGAGGAGAATGGAGAAGAAGGGATTGCTATGTGGCCATCCCCCCTGGAGGTGGTGATTTCTTGCTTTCTGTCTCTCTGTCTCTCTCTGTCTTTCTAGTGAGTGCACGTACCCTGTAGCAAAAACCTCTCCAAACAGAGAACATTATACATATAATTTATTGTTTATACTTTCAGGAATCCTTAACTGCATTACTTAAACAACTAGAACGAGAAAAAAGGAGTCTTGAAAATCAAGTGAGAGACTATGCACTTAGACTGGAACAAGAATCAAAGGTTTGTTTTTACTCTGTACTCAACAATTTCTTTGAAACTACTATTGTTTCTAGTGTTACCTATAAGCCTACTATATAGCTGTCACAAAATGTTTACAAACTATTTCATATGCTACTATGAAAAACAGGATAGAGGGCTGGTGGCATGGTGACTAAGGTGCTGGACTCCCATGGTCAACCCCTGGACTTTGTAGCTTGAAAATTACAGTGGATACCTGTGTGTTCATGCCCCCAATCCTGATAGGATGGTGGAGAAGGGATTACGGTGTGGCCATCCCCTCGGGGTTGGGGGAGCAGGTGATGATTTCTCACTTTACGTTTCTCTGTCTCTCTTTGGCAAGCACGTGTTCCCTATAGCAAAAATCTAAATAAACAAAACAAACAGACAAACAAAAACAGGACAGAGACATAGATCTTAACTAAGTGATAGTCTTTCTAGTATTATTAATCTCTTATTTCGCATTCTTTATTTTTATATCTTTGCATAGGCTTACCATAAGACCAACAACGAACGCCGTACATACCTAGCTGAAATGTCTCAAGTAAGTAAAAAAAATTACTTCTAGATTCTAAGGGTTTCCTCTTACTTTAAAAATTTCCCCCTTCTTGCTTTCTCACTTTCTCTCTTTCATATACTCTGTTCCTCTCTGGTAAAATTAAAATAAGCAAATAAATGAAGTGAAACTAAAAATAGCTCTTTAAAAATGAAAAGAGAAAGGGCCAGCAGGTGGCATGGTGGTTAAGGGCACTGAACTCCCACATGGGTGACCACAGTTCGAGTCCTGGACCTGATAGCTTGTTTTCTCACTTTCCCTCCCTCTCTCTCTCTCTGTTCTTCTCTGATAAAATAAAAATAAATAAATAAGCAAATAATAAATTAAATAAAAAAATAACTCTTTAAAAATTTTTCCTCACTTGTCTAGGCTTTGGTTTGGTTTATAGAAAGTGGATATTGGAATTATGAGAGAAAAGTACTAAAATATGGAAGATGGCAGAGCTGGCTGAAGGCTAGGGTTGGGTCATGGCATCAGGACCCTGTTGGGTGTGCTGTCTGTTTCTCTCATGGATAGAAACAATAAACAAACTAAAACCCAGCACAATATGGAGGGTGGAAAAGAAAATATATGGCTTATATAGAGAGGTAAAAAGGAGATAAAATAGTTTTCGAAATTAGATTTTAAAGTGTATTTGCTTCCTTAGTTATCCTTTTAGTTTTATCCACAGTCACTAGATTTTAAGCAGATGAGTTACTCTCCCTCTGCTGTCATGAAGTTCAAGGCACTTTGGTTCACAATTTTGCATGGTAAGGTCTAAGCTAAAGGTAGATTTATTTTTTTATTGCCAGAGCATGCGTGTGTGTGTGTGTGTCTGTCTGTCTGTCTGTCTGTGTGTGTGAGAGAGAAATCATCCACTAACGGTGTGATTATAACACAATCCTTTTTTCTTCATTTCTCCATCCCATCAGGTATTAGGGCATGTATGCACATGCACATGCACACACACGGCCTGTTATTCAAACTGAAGTTTTAGGATAAATTTGGCATTGTTATTAGTAGAAAGTGTGAACTAATGAATATAGGACATGCAAGTGATCAGTAAAGTATGAAAGATGTTGCATATATTTTTTATAGCTTTCAAATTTGCCTTTCAGTTTTATTTATGATGTTGTTAGAATAGTAGAATGTTCGATTTGATATCACAGCTTTTTTACTTATTTATTTCTGATGTCATAGTTTAAAAGACCATCTTCATCTCTATCTTGTATAATACTTAACCATATCTTCTTTTAGTATTTATATGGCTTAATATTTGACATTTAAACATTTAATCCTTATTAACTTTGTTTTGGTTTGTTTTAAGATTGGAATGCAAATTCAGTTTTTGATGTGTGTTACCAAATGGAAACGTCCAAAGGGCAGTTGGATATATGAATATCAGGGAAAAAGATCTATATTAAAAAGATTAAGGACTTATTAGCAGGTAGACAGTAAGTAAAGTCACAGAAATGAGTGAGAATGGATGAAAAGAAAAGATAGTTAGGATATACCACAAAAGAGCTTCATTAGTGAGGGTCGAAGGAAATAGAGCCAAAAAAAAGGACTGGACTCCTCCAGGCAGCCTAGATCAGACCTGGACATGGAGCAACTTGTAAGGATGGGCCTAATATAAAGGGTAATCTGCTAACCACTAAAGTTACTAGAGGTACCTGGAAGGATCAGTGAAAGGATTGAGAGGAAAGGAATTAGGTTAGGGGACTGGACCCCAAAAGGGGATGTTCAGGAAAATTTGAGAATGAAAATCCAAGCAATCATGGGTAGAAGGAACTTTGAACTTGCAGTGTTGACCAAAGTAGGTAGGAAACTCAGACAAGATAGGCTCAGTCCTATAGCCTCTTGTCTGTAAAATGGACAGTTTAAACTTCATGGTCCTTGGTACTAGGCTGGAAGCACTGCTTCCTCCTGTAGCAGAAGAGGGAGTAGCATACCTTTTCTTCGACTGTCCACTCTGCTCGGAATATGCGCCTTCTCATGGGAGCAAATCCCACTTTCTTCATGGTCTAACACAAATGCTGCCTCTTTTATGAGGCCATGACATGATAAAAAGGCCACAGACTGTAGAGCCATTACAGAATTGGACTGGAATCTCAGCTCTGCATGTACTGCTGTGTGACCTTTCTGGGCCTGAATTTCTTTCCTTCCCCATAGAAAGGAAATATCAGTATCTTGCAGGGGTTTTGTGAGTGCTTAGAGATAGAATGTGTGAAGTGCTTGCTGAGTGAAATGCCTGGCACATAATAGGGTCTAAATTCCAGTAAATGGTGACTAATGTTTACTTGCTTTTCTTTCCTGATTTCCCTAGTGACAGAGAATGAGAATTTCTACTTGCCTTAGCCTTTCTGTAGGTTCCTAATGCTGATACAGCTGCTTCACTGAGCTATAGGTTCTTTCCTAAGGTCACATAGGGCTTCTCATGCTTTCTGTTCCCTTATACTTAGCACAAAATATGGCAAATAGTGTATGTTCAGAACTATTTACTGAGCTGAATGCAGTGCAGAAATTTATGTTGACAAAAGCCCAGTCATTAAGACAAAGGTGATCAATATATAAAACATTGTCAAAGGATTTTCTTTTTAAGGTTAGGAGTAAAGTCTTTGCCCTCAAAGCATTCATTCACCTTTGTTTATCTGAAAAATTCATTTAGGTGGAATAATCCTACTTTGACTATACAGGATCACTGAACATACAATAAAAGCCTATTTTAACAGCTTCCCAGGAAGATGTTAATCCTGTCCACAGTATAAATGTTAATAAGGATTTTCACTCTAGAGTGAATTGTTAATCTTTATAGTGAAAGACCGTTCTGACCATGCGGACACTATGGTGACTGGAAAGGTTAATGGATGATTTGTAGCTCTTTCCATGCGGAATACATAAATAATTGATTCTTTGGTAGATAACTAGAGTTATTTGCTGAGTCTGCTGTTTATGTTTCTGCTGCTATCTCTGTGGCTTTATCTCACTCTGGATTCACTGTTTTGACTGAAACTGAGTTTCCTCATTTCAGTATTCTAATTTGCACAATGTATACAGTCTAGACATAGCTTTAAAAAAAAAACACAACTACACTGTATTAATTTAGTCAGGAAGACTGACTGGAGCTTGTTGTAACATATAATAAACTTGAGTTTTAGCAGCTTCTTTCTCCTCCTCTCTATACCACCTTCCTTCTCTCCCTTTTTTTCCCTCCCTCCTTCCCTCCCTCCCTTTCTCCTTTGCTCCTTTCCTTCTTTCCTTCTTCTATGAAAAACTTGAGACACAGGGACCACCAACAGGGTCCTCATGCCAAGACCCAGCCTGGGTTGAACACAAGTGCTTAGGGAGATCCCGGATGCAAACCCAGGACATTTTTCATATGGTCCAGTTGTGTTACCACTGTGCCATCACCTGGCCCCTTAAATCTAGGTTCTGTTGTTAGAAGCATAGAATTTTAGTCACTGCTATGAGAGATCATTGAATGGAATACTTCTGTTTTAAAGATAAGGTACCTGAAGCTGTTCTTTCATGTCAGACATTTCTAGTTGTTAGAATTATTGAATTATGCTCCTTAGTCTTCTTGAAAATTCCTTAAAATCCATTAGTTTTAGTTTTACATTCTGAAGAAAGAACAAATCTGCACTTCTTCTAAATGATTGCTTTTCAAGATTTGGAAACTCTTATCCATTTTGTTTTGTTTTGCTTTCTGAGCTAAAATATTAAGTTACATTAGCCATGCCTTGTGACATCAGTTCTAGATTACCCAGGTGTTTCTGTTGCCTTTTTGAACAACTCTGTTTTTGTCATTGTCATTTAAAAATGGAGTTCCTATGTTTAAATCTAGTACTTGAGCATAGCTATCAAAATCTTATCTTTACCACATCCCATTTTTCTTCTCTGCTGCCTGAGAAGAGAAGAAAATTTTATGGTGATGCATCCTATTAAAATTTTTTTGTTTGTATTGACCAAAGGATCACAGCAAAGCTCCTTGGTACAGTCTACAAGGTCCACTCTAACATTTCTTTGACTATCTCTGTAACCTTACCCTTCCCAGCATCCTGTTCTACAACCAGACCAATCACTGTGTCCTAATTCCAGCATGTGTCATACCGCTTTGTACTTGGGATCTTCGCTGCTCTTTCAAACTAGAATAT